CTGTAAAGAGCCTATATTTCTCAAGAATTGTCATTAGAACTGCTGCTTGATCTGTGCTTGCCTTGCAAAAAAATAGAGAGTCGTCTGCAAATAGAAGATGAGTAAGCAATGGGCCATTTCTGGACAGTTTGAGACCTCTGAACTGTTCATTGCCAACTGACTGACCAATCAAAGCAGTGAGAAGCTCAGTTATGATGATGAAAAGGTAAGGAGACAGTGGATCTCCTTGCCTAATTCCCCTAGTTGGTGTGACCATACCACTCACTGTTCCATTTATTTTGAAGGAGAAAGTAGCTGTAGTGACACAGACCATAACAAGCTTGACAAAATCACTGTGAAATCCCATTTGAAGCATGATTTTCTTTATGCAAATCCATTCTACTCGATCAAATGCTTTAATTAAATCAAGTTTGAGAGCCATGAAGTAGTTAGCACCTGAGGAGTGTCTGTTTAGAAAGTGAAAAGCTTCATGTGCAATGATGACATTATCCATAAGCTGTCTGCCTTCAACAAATGCAGCTTGAAAGTCACTGATGCAAGATTCTAGGCAATTCTTTAATCTTTGAGCTAGCACTTTGGAAATGAGCTTATAAATTACTGTGCATAGACTAATTGGTCTGAAGCTTCCCAAGTTTTCTGGATTTGTACATTTAGGAATCAGGGATATGATGGTGTGGTTCCAATATTTGAGGATCATACCTGAGGTGAAGAAGCTGAAGATAGCTGACATGAGGTCTGCCTTTATGAGGTCCCAAAAATGCTGATAGAACTTTGAGGTCAGGCCATCTTCTCCTGGAGCCTTATCAGTAGGCATAGTAAATAGAGCTGCTTTTACTTCTTCCTCAGAGACAGGTTTTAGCAATGCTTCATTCATATCCTGTGTGATAGTTTGTGGTATAAGTGGCAGGATTGAGTCACCTCCCCAACTCCCTTCAGATGAAAACAGTTGTGAGTAGAATTCTGCTATGTGCTTCTCAATGTCTCTTTGACTGGTGAAGATTCTGCCTTGGGGTGAGACCAATCTTGTTATAGCATTTTGCCTTCTCCTTTGAAGTGTAAAGGCATGAAAAAATTTTGTGTTTGAGTCTCCTTCCTTCAACCATTTCAAGTGAGCCTTTTGCTGCCAGTACATCTCCTCTTGGTGATGAGCCTTATTTAAGTCTCTCTTTGTGGATTCCCAGCATTCCCAAGTATCTTCAGAGCTGTCCTTGTTCTTGTTCAGAGCTTCCAGTTTAAGAGTTAGTGCTGAAATGATGGCTTGATTCTGAGTGTGGAATGAAGAACTCCAGATGAGAAGTGCAATTCGAGTATTCTTAATCTTCTCTTTCAGCTTGAAAAATGGAGTACCCGTGACAGGAATGAGCCATGCTTCCTTGACTGTTTCTTCAAAACCCATCTTTCCAATCCACCGTTTGTCAAATTGGAACCTTGCCTTTCTTTTCTGTTTAGGCAGCCCCATATCAAGTAGAAGTGCAGAGTGATCTGAGGAGCTTCTTAGTATGTTTGTGACCATGGCATTAGGGTAGCATGTCAGCCAATCTGAGGAGCCAAATGCTCTATCAAGTTGCTCTTCCACTAAATCAGCATTTGCTCTGTTGTTGCACCAAGTGAATGGATATCCATTCATTCTGAGCTCTTCCATTTCCATATGGTCAATGAAAGTGTTGAAGCCTTGAAAACTAGCTGAATTTCTTGGGATACCTCCTGATTTGTTTGAGCCTGCACATATATCATTCCAGTCTCCAATGGAGAACCAGCTGTTACCCCAAATGTGTTTATTTAGAATTAACTCCTCCCATTATTCTATTCTTGTGAGCCTGCAGGGACTTAGATATACAAAAATGCCCCACTGAGTGTTGTGAGAAGGAAGATTAAATTGAACAGCAACATAGAATTCTTTACATATCAATTGCAAAATATTTACATTAGAGTCCCAAAACAAAGCTAAACCACGACTAATACCCACAGGGTCTACAACTGCAACTCTATCTACATAACCAAGCTTATTACTAACAGACTTAACAAAAGCTTTTTGTTTTTTTGTTTCTTAAAGGAAAAAAAAGTGAGGGTGATGAGTCTTGATCAACTCTCGCATTTGGGAAATTGTAGAGGGCCCACCCAGCCCTCTACAATTCCACACCACAGCTAACATTGTTCACTGTGGTGCCACTCCAGGCTGGCAACCCCCACCTTGTTCAATTGGATTTTGCTCTTCTTTTTCACAGAAACTTCCTGAGTCATATCTTGCTGTGTGGTTATCTGATCTCCTTCCGATTCTCTAGGCCTTTTTCCACCAGATTCTATTTCATGAGCCTCAGTGATGATTGGTTCCCTTAGGAGCCTGCCTGCTCTGGTTGTGTCTCTTCTCCAGGTTTTTAAAGCTCCAGTGTGAGTAGTGGTACTGGCTATGTGTGGTTCTGCTGATAGAGACATAATCTTAGGTGCTACCAAGTCTACTTCCATTGCTTTGCTTGAAGTCACAATTTGGAGGGAGGATTCTGCAATGACTTCCTGAGTGTTGGGAATTGGGGTTGTAGAGGCTGCAGAGGTTGGGGTTCCTTCTTTTGTTTTGGTGAGAGGGCTCTCAATGATGTGCAGCATTTGTTGATTTGGTTCTGTCTGGTGAGAAGACGCTTTGGGGGAGGATCTTTGATTACTAGCTGATGGGGCTTCTGTATGAGGAGAACCTCTGGAGCCTGAGTGATTCCCTTCAAACCATCTCTGTCCTTCAGTGACTTTCATAAATTCTCCATATTGTCCTTCCTTTAAGGAGTTGTTGTTGATGTCTGAGATTCGCTTAATGCACCCCATGTCTAGGTGTCCAATCATGCCGCAATAGTGACAGAGGTTCAGCAGTTTCTCATATTTGAAACCAACTTGGACTGCTTAATCATCAAGCCGGATACTGGCTACCCTGGGGAGAGGCTCCTCTAAATTCAATGTGACTAAGAGTCTGAGGATTTTACCACCATGATTGCCGGCATTTACCATCACCACATTTTTAACTTGCTTAAAGACTCTGCCGATCTTAAGGCCTACTTCAGTACTTAGCCAGTTCAGTGGGATATTGGTTACCTGTACCCAAATGTTAAGTTCTTTGAAGCTAGGATGCTTACTGTTGAGCCCATCTGTCCACTCTTTAAGAACCAGGTATTGGTTTTCAAAGCTCCAATTCATGCCTCCTGCAACTCGTTTCATATCTTCACGTTCTTGGAAAATGAATTGGAAGTAGTTTGGGCTGAGTTCTTTTATCTCTACTGGTTGGCTCAGCCTCCATATGTTGCTCATTGTTCGCTTAATGCCTAGCCAGCTTGCAGTTCTGTCGCCTACGATTTTTCCGAATAAGCTCCTCTGGCATTCTTCTGCACTGAGTTTGATGTCGTCTTTCGCTAGATCAATAAAAGTTGCTTCCTTTTCCGATAGGGAGAAATCCCGTAGCTGATTTGATAGATCGTCGTTTTGAGAATCTGCCATTGGGAGCTAACCCTAGATAAAGACGGTACTGTCCAGCTGAAATTATGTTCTGTGGAGGTGAAGGAATATGATGGAAAGGTTGTTGCGGTAAAGGTGAGAAATATGAGAAAGGTAAGGAATATGATAGATCGGTAAGTCGCCGGAAAAACTCAAAAGCTCCCACCTGAGAGAATTCAGATCGCTCTCACCTGAGAGAATTCTATATATGTTTGATTGAGTATGGCTGGAAATTAAATTACCAAAAAAATAATTTTATTTTTTATATGTATGTAACATGATATGTATTATAATGTTTGTAATTAATACATTTATTAATATTTCTTATAACTTTAATTGCTTATTCAATTCATAATGAAATAAAAAATAATAATATATAGTTTCTGCACAACAATAATGACTGTCACATTTATATATATAAATAAGAATAAGAAACATAAATGTGGGATTAACTAAAAGAAACTTTTTTTAATTTAGTCATTAACAAATTAAGTTTAACTAAAAGAAACCTTCTTAAATGTGAGATTAATGAGTAACTAATTAAAAAAATGTAACTTCTTTTGGAGGGAAAATGAAAATGTTTTTATTAAATGTTTTATTAAATGAGGTTAGCTAGCAATTATATATATATATATATATATATATATATATATATATTTAAATCAGAGTTGTAACGAAATTTCTGGAATATGTCACATACAGGGCTTCAGTAAAACGAGCATATCCCAAGCTACAGACCACATATAAACATGATTCAAGCACCTAGAGAAAGCTGACAAATACCCCTACAACGTCCAAGAAGGCACATTTATATTTGAACACATTAAGGCATCGAAAACAGATCATACATTCATAAAACACATGCTGCCGGATTGCCAGAAAACTTCTTGCACCACTATTTTAGAAAAATCATAACTCGTCATTTCAAATCATTTTTTCAAGATTCCAAAACTCACATACAGATAAGTCTGTACTACAATTCACATGAAGAACACACTTTCAAGAAACGTGATCTTGAGGGTCAAAACGGGACTTGAAACAGAGAGTCAGAAACAGTATTTCATCACTTAGACATATCCAAACTTAACCAAATTAAAAACCACATCCTAATTCCTAAGCATAATAATTCCATCCCCTAAACATGATTATTTAATACATAAAACATCAATAAAACACATATAAATCCCAGCCTTCAATTAACTACACATAAACATTCTTCAAACGTAACAACACATGATAAAACATCAAACCCTAACATGCAACTCAACTCAAATATTAAGCAAGCTTCGGTTCTCAATTAATCCAACCTTAAACGTCTTTTAAACATTCTCTTTAAAACATTAATTCCAGTATTAACTTGGAATTCTAATAATAAAAACATAACTTAACATTAATCTCTTTAATTAACATTAATCTTATAATTAATAAACGTCTTCTAATAAAATTATGCATTGAACACATAGATCGGCTTTGGGCATGAAGGGTTTACCATTCTCGGGAGGAAGAATTAATAATAAACTCGGTTGAAGGGACGCGACTTGGTCGACTTCGGAACGTGTGGTGGTCGGCCTTGGCACGCGGGGAGGTGAATTGCCGAGAGAGATGAAGTTTTTTTTTTTTTTGTAGTTGTGTGCTTGAGGTAGTGAAGTAGAAAAAATAAATCTGATTTTGTGGAATAATCTTCCGTAAGGGAAAAACAAATCCCATGGGCAAGGAGATATATTTATAAGGCTAGGATTAGGAGACTTAGAAGGAATATAGGATTCCTAATTTGCATTGGAATGAGTTTCTTTCTCTTACATGATAAAACTTGGGGACCAAGACAAGATTTTTCCCTCTTCTTTTCTCTCTTTCTCACGTGAAATACACCTAGGGCCGATTTATTGTGCTCAAATATCTTAGATTAATACTCATTCTCCTTTAATGCTTAATATATAAAAATTACAATTAATATTATACCATTTAAATTAAATAGATAAGGACATCTACTTAATTCCTTAATAATAGTTTTTATAATTAAATAAGTGAGGGCACATACTTAATTATTTACATAACATAAAATATGTCGAGCTTTTATTACTTTTTAAAAATAAATCATAAATAATCATTAAAAATATCTAAATATGCATAAAATAAAATTCATGAATTTTGGGGTCTTACAAAAGAGCATTCATACCGTCTTCCCCAGGAGATTTATTTGGACTGAGGCTAAAGAGAGCTGTTTTGATCTCATATTCATGGACTGGTCTGAGAAGTTCTTGGTTCATGTCTTGGGTTATTAATTGAGGAATGAGATGAAGGAGAGAATCTCCTCCCCATGAGCCCTCTGAGGAAAAGAGATTGGAGTAGAAATCAGAGATGTGATCTTGTATTTCCTTCTGAGTGGAGCAGACTCTGTTTTGATTGGTGAGTAACCTGGTGATAGCATTCTGCCTTCTTCTATGCAGGGTATAGACATGAAAGAATTTGGTGTTGCAATCTCCCTCTTTGAACCACCGAATTTTGGCTTTTTGCTGCTAGAAGAGCTCTTCAGATTTGTGAGCTTCATTCAAATCTTTCATAGTAGAATCCTATGTATACTAGTGCTCCTCTAATCTGGTTTCCTGAAGAGACTCCAACTTCATGGTAAGAGACTCACTATTGGACTGGTTTTGAGTTCTGAACTTTGCACTCCATAACAATATGGCCTGTCTTGTGTGTTTAATTTTCTCTTTCAGCTGGAAGAATGGTGTGCCACTCTGATTGCTTGTGCAAGCCTTCCTTACTATGTCTGTAATATCATCCCATAATATCCATCTTTTATCAAAATGGAACCTTACTTTGACTCTTTCTTTATTAATCCCAGAACTTAGAAGTAACAATGAGTGGTCAGAGGCACTTCTAACCACATTTGAGATCAAGGCATGAGGGAAAGTAGTTAGCCATTCTTCGGATCCAAAATCTCTGTCTAGCTTCTCTTCAACTAGGCCTTCAGAACTCCAATTGTTACACCATGTGTATCTATATCCCACCATCTTGATTTCTTTCATTTCCATTATGTTGATGAATTCATTGAATCCTGCCAAGCTTCTGTCTGATCGTATGACAGCTCCCTTTTTGTTCTCCCTGGAACATAAATCATTCCAATTTCCTATTGTGAACCAATTTGTGCCCCATTTACTCTTTTCTATCTCCAAGTGCTGCCACTGTTCCTTTCTGATAATACTGCAAGTACTCAAATAAACAAACATTCCCCAAGTAGAGCATCTACAATGCACTGAGTCTAGTCTTGCCTATGTGGTATGTAAATAAACCCAAGTCTTGGATGACATGGATAAAATTATATAAAATTAACAAAATTTATTCCAATGCAAAGAAACTAGGTCTCTACTTAGGTCTAAAATAGACTTAAGGGGAGACCGGGTCTCTTTTCTGGGTGCCACATCAGCAGGACCCAGTCTATTTTTATTTACATTGGAAAATATATTTTTTTAAACTGAGTCTATTTCTTAGGTGGCATACAATTTTTTTGGATTGAACCCAAAGCATTGTGGATGCTCGTCGTGCCAGCATCTTGAGTTTGGTATTCCACAACAATATAAAAGTCTTTGCATGTTATTTGGGAAATGTGAACATCTACTAACCATAACAGTAATAGTCCTCCACTTAGATCTTTAAGGTCAACTAAATCATATCTATTATCAAACCCAAGTTTCTTGACTAGAGACTTAATAAAAGTTGTTGGTTTCTTAGTTTCAGAAAGAAAGAAAAAAGCTGGGTGGTGAGTCCTATATGACTCTCTTATTTGGGAAACTGTAGAGGGTCCACCCATCCTCTACAATTCCACACACTAGCATTGATCACTCGGGTGCCATTCTAGGCTGGCAACTTCCACCTTCTCAGCAGTAGCTTTCAACTTTTTACTATCATCTTGCGTCTCCAATGTTTCCAAATTTTCAGAAGCAGGAATATCTACATCTGCTCTAGATCTTTTCCCACTCATAGCTAGCACCATTTGAGCCTGCCCTTCTTCTTGCCTCTGCAGTCTGCCTTCTCTGCTTGAAGACCTTCTCCAAGATTTGGCTTTCAATTTTTTGACAACCTTGGAATTTTGTCCCCTGAGAAGCAACTGGTTGTTGTTGTTGCAATTCTATGTCCATGTCCTTGGAAGATTCTAGCATTTGATGTAATGGTATTGTTGCTTCAATTATCCGTTGAGGAGATGGTTGGTATTCATGTCTCAGGTTCTGAGTATTGGTAACAGGCTCCCCCTTTTCTTTCAGGGTAGAAGGTTCTGAAGGTTCTCCTGGAAGAGAGACCAATTGATTGTTGTCTGCTACTTGGTTATTAGAAGTTTGCAGGGGAGTGGTTGGCACTGGTGATGAAGGCCTATCTGAATGAGGGGGACTCCTAGTGCCTGATGTGCTTAAACCTGTCCAATGTTGACCATCAGGAGCTCTCATCCAGTCGCCATATTGTCTTTCCTTCAGTGAATTATTGCTTATGTCTTCCATTCTCTTAGAGCAACCTCTGTCTAGATGACCAATTAGACCACAGTAATGGTAATGATTCACTAGTTTATTATATTTGAAGCTCACACTCACAAGTCAATCACCTAATCTCAAAGTGGCACAACGAGGCAAAGCTTCATTAAGTTCACTGTAACAAGTAATCTCATAATTCTTCCACCATGATTCCTAGCTCCAACTACTACTACATTCTTGACAGTTTTGAAAACTTTTCCAATTTTTAATCAGACTTCATCACTAAGCCAATTGAGAGGAACATTAAGTACCTGCACCCAGATATTGAGTTCTTGGAATGTTTTATGATTGATTGATATGCCCTCTTGCCACTCTGGGAGAACAAGGATCTGATTTTCGAAAATCCAGTTTGTTTCGTTAGCAGCTTTGTCCAAATCCTCTTTGCTCTAGAATATAAATTGGAAATATTTTTGGCCTAATTCCTTTACCTCCATCAGCTGGCATAGTCGCCAGATTTGGCTCATCGCTCGCTTGAACCCAATCCAACTGGCCTTCCTATCACTAATGATTTTGCTGAAAAGACTTCTCTATTCCTCTGCACTAAGTCTGATGTCGTCATGGGCCATATCAATGAAAGAATTTTTTGTATCAGAGAGAAAAAATCCCTTTAATCTCTGCGCTAGTTCCTTATCTTGCCCTATACAAATTAGAGTTCCCATTGGAAAGTGAAACCCTAAAATCCCCTAACTTCAATATGGAAGGAGAAATAGAAGAAATAGAATAGGAAAAGCTAATTCGATATTGGGCTGAAAATGCACTGCAGAACTCCGATGACAAGATGATCAGAAAACTCTCTGTCGAGAGAATACGACCGCTCTCCGTCTAGAGAATTATAATACTAGTACTAGTATATATAAATTTTGGAATTTTTAAGGAAATATTTTGCACTTCAAAGTTTAAATATCTCATCCAGGATAATATCCCCAATTTCCCACTGCCCATAGTGAGAGTAGGGATTAAAATGGGTCGGGTCGGGTGCGGGTTTTGGCAAATCCGAACCCGACCCGCTTGCAATTTACCCAACCCATACCCGACCCGTTACCCAATTAGTGAACTTCGGATTCGGGTTGGGTTTTACCCACCGGGTTATCGAGTCTTCATTGGGTAAACCGATTTTTTAGATTTGGGTTTTACTCGGTCCCATTTTAACCCGACCCGTTTCATGAATAAAAAATAAATAAAATAATTTCGCAATTAAATATAATGTAATTAACAATTTATTAACTAAGTTGACAATAAAATGATTATAAAATAATTCTATATTGTATTTGAAATAAATATTGAGGTATAATTATTTATTTTTTATAGTCTAGTTAATAATATAACATTTAAAAATTAAATATTTAAATTTTATATTGTACAACTAAAAGAAAATTTGATAAGAAAAACCAGAAAAAATAAAATAATATTTAAACCATTAACCAAAATTATAAAAATAATTAATTTATATTTATCATATGACATATATACATAGAGAAAGGATCATGTGAGAATGGTAGATAATGAAAGAAATAAGAATGATTACGGACTGTTGGATCGGGTATATCAATGGACATGATGAAGTCAAAATTGAGTTAGAAAGTCAAATATGCAGTGGCAAGTCTATAATTATATAACTATCCCATGGGCAAATATATATCTGGGAGGGTAATTGTATAATTTCACCAAACCACTAAATCAGTGGGCCCCACTCATAAAAATACCTACTTTCCCTCTCTCCTCTCTCCTCTCTCCTCTCTCTCTTTCTATCTTATTTCTCCTCCTCCCGCTGACAGTTCACGGCGAGAAAGAAGACGACTCCGTCCACCACAAGAAGCCGCCGGCCATGTCGCCGTTGTCGACACATCCGATGCCGCCACCGTCCACCGATTCCGGCGACTCGTCTAGAGCCCACGGCGGGAGTTCCGATGTAGATAGCCACAGCAACCGCCGCCGTCACCAAACTTCCACCACGCCTCCGCCTTCCACAACCAGTCTGCAGCCTCGCCTCCGCCGTCTGGCCACAGCATCATCGTCTCCGCCTCCCGCCTCCGCCGTCCACCACCTTCTTCCAGCCACAGCAGCCATCCCGTCGCAGGCACCAGCCACACCACCAACATCGCCGGCTCGCCGCCGAAAACATCCCCCGAGTCGCCACAAGCCAACACCGGACCCGGCCCCACGCCATCTCCGCCACGAAACGTACCAGCGAAGTTTCAGCCCTCCGGTGGCGACAACCACCGCCGCCTGCCGTGCCGGCCATCGCCCGCCGCCACTACGTATGTCGCCGCCCCAGATCCGCCTGACGCTCTCCGGCAGAAAGCAGAAGACAAACGGGTCTGCATCAATAAATTTGTGGCCTTTTTTTGGAAATTTGAAATGTTTAAAGGACTCAATTGTAATTTTATAAATGTTAATATATTACAATTCAAGGCATGGGGCAAATTTATAATTTATAAAAATTTAAATGCTTGCTCATTAATGTTATGTAAATTACAAGTTAGGATAATTAAATTGCATATTAATGCTATGTATATTGCACATTAATATTTTTATATAATATTTTATTTATTTTGATTGAAAAAATAATATTATTATTAAAAAATATAAAAATAGTATTTTTTTATATGGTTTGGTCGGTCCGGTTATTTCGAATATTTAGAAAATAAATAAATAAAGTTCACATTGAACCGAAATAACTAGAATTTTAAAGATAAACACATAATCGATACAAGATATTTTTTGAACACAAAAGAAAAGAAAAAAAAATCGGTCCGCTACGGTCGCTAAAGTGCAATCCATTAGTCGCTAAGGTGCAACTCGTCTAACACTAAAGTGGCAATCAGAAAGACATTAACTTGCAATAAGTCTATCACTAATGTCAATTTGAAGCGCAATTATTTTTTTAATAAAAAAATACATATTAATAACAATAGTAATGTTATAAAGTGCAACATATTACTATATAAAGTGAAACGCATTAATTTCTGGCACATTAACATGATTGCGTTTTTAGTAGATAGAATTTGTGATAATATTGTTATTAAAAAAATATAAAATAGTATTTTTTTATATGGTTTGGTCGGTTCGGGTATTTCCGGTATTTAAATAAATAAATAAAGTTTGCATCGAACCGAAATAACTAAAATTTTAAAGATAAACAAATAAAGTTTGCATCGAACCGAAATAACTAAAATTTTAAATATAAACACATATAATCGATCCAAGATAACTTTTGAACAAAAAAAAAAAAAAAATCAGTCAATTTCGGTCGCTAAAGTGCAATCCGACAGTCGCTAATGTGCAACCCGTCTAACGATAAAGTGCAGTCTGGAAGACATCAAAGTGCAATAAGTCTAACACTAATGTGAAATTGAGTGAATTGAAGTGCAATTATTTTTTTTATAAAAATATATATTAGTAACAATAGTTATGTTATAAGGTGCAACGTATTACTATATAAAGAGAAACGCATTAATTTCTGGCACGTTAACATGATTGTATTTTTTGTAGATAGAATTTGTGATAAAGTGCAAGTATTATTTTATAAAGTACAACATGTTATTTTATAAAGTGCAGCATCCCCTTAAATAAAGTACACTAGCTAATTTATACCTCTCAGACAAATTATGTGTATATTTGTACATCGAATTAACATAAATAATTAGAGTAACTTTTTATTTATTATTTTTTACTATATAATTTAGTTATTATTATAAAATATTTTTATATTTTTCTAATTGATATTTTATATTATTTTTATTTAATAATTTATTTATTATTTAATATAATATGTGCATAACAAAAAATTCAAATGCTTTGTACAAATGGAGCTCTATCCACTCAATTCACTTGCATAGGGCGAAACTAAAGACATATCATTAATGCATATTTTCCAAATAAATATCATTAATACATATTTTTCTAATAATGATATCATTAATATCATTAATGATATTTAACCAATACTACAATGAATACATGATTTCCCAATAAACTAAATATAAATTAAAACAACATTTTAAAAATTGCAAATGAGCCCATAAAGATTACCTAATTTTCAAAAGAAAAGCCCAAATGTCTCCCTGCCACCAACCATTCCCGTCGGCGGTCGGCCACCTGCGGATACGACGACCAAGTTGACAGCCGTTTGGCTCTATGGATGTATGGCGGCGGCGAGGGCGGACATTTCCGGCCCGCCCGCTCGTGAACGATCTTCTCGATCTTCGATTTTTCAGTCACCGGCGGTGTGTGGCGAACGGCGGCGTGTGTGCGTGTTCAGGCGACCGACGACGTTGGTGAGCGGAGAATGGCGATGTGTGGTCCTGCACGTGCTTCCAACGTTCAGCGGCGGCGATCTGCTCGGCGTTCACGGCGGCGCTGTGTGGCGTCAGGTGCAGGATCGTCGGCGTCGTCGGCTCTCTGGACGCAGTAGAATGACGAAACTCTAACCTTCTTTTGGGTGGGCACAGTGTCGGAAGTTTCGAGGATGAGAATCGGCGCGAAATGGCGGGAAAAATGGCGGCGAAAATGGTGACCGGAATGGCGCCGGTGACTGTCGGAGGCGGAAGTCGGCCGTGGTTGAGCTATTGAGCCCTGTGCTGTTGGTCGTTAAGCGTTGCCGGCGGGAGTTGGCAAAAGAAGCGTCGCCGACGACAATGGGGGGTGGACAGAGATGTGTTGGTGTGTGTGTGAGAGAGAGAGAAAGTGTTGGTGTGTGTGTGAGAGAGAAAATATGTATTTAACTAGAATCTGGTGAAATGAGAGAGAAAGTGGTTGAGTTGTTTGGGGGTGGGGCCCACACGTGTGAGTGGGTTGTGTTGTATTGGGTTCCACTTGTTAAGAAATTTACCATATTACCCTTAATGAATGTATTATTTTGACTTTTTTTAGCCTTTAGATCATCCGATCCAGTGGTTAAGATTTATTCTTATTTCTTTCACTGAGCACCATTCTCACTGGAGCGCGACCCTATATATATGTGTGTGTGTGTGATTCAATATTGCGGGTAAATGGGTAGGGTAATCGAGTCGGATAATGAGTTTTTATACCCGACCCGGTGTTCGGGTAGCACGATTTACCCGAACCCGACCCAAAACCCGATCATATCGGATTTATCCGACTCAAAAATACGGATAACCTGCGGGTAACCAGACTCTTTGGGTTTTATTGACATCCCTAAGAGAGGTCGAAGTACGAACCACCATATAAACAAAACACAAAACCCTTTCACCTTATCCCTTTCATTTCTCCTCTCCATCTCCACTCCCCAAAAAAACCATGGCCTGCGCCTCCTCCATTATCGGCGTGTCCTCCATATACCAAGCCATCCCGACGACCCTCGACCCCAACAAACCTGCCACGCCATCTCTGCACCTTCATTTCTCCGCCGCCGGCAACAGTTTGAGAGCTTTTTCTTCGTTGCGCTCCAAGTCCGGCGCGTGCCCCGCCAACTCATTCGTGCCGTCGGCCGTCGCGACTCAGAACTCGTCTTGGTTGAGCGAGGAGGCGCTCAAGGGGCTCGGAGGTTTCGGAGACGTTAGCGACGGCGAGTACGGGGAGGATTCCTTCGACGGCGAATTGGAGGAGATTGGAACTGGAAATGTGGACGAGCTCGACATTTCTAAGATTGGCTTGCCCCAGCGGCTCGTGGACACGCTTGAGAAGCGTGGTATTAAGGAGCTTTTTCCCATTCAGGTATACCATTGTTTGACTGTATTAGTACGTGTTTTTCTCATGTTTTTACTTCTGCGGATTTTTTTGGTCTAAACTGGTTCATAAGTGGGTAATGTGTCTTTTGGGAAAACAAAGGAACTTTGTAAATGGGTAATGTAGGTAAGGAAAGATTTCGCTGCATTTTTTTTCTTTTATTTTTTTCCTGGAAAAAGATTTTGGATTTTGATGGGTCGAGGCTCCAACATACTATACAAGTGAAATTATGAAACACATGCAATTTCTGTATAGCATGAGACATGAGCTGCAGGAAGATAGGGTAAATTTTGATAGAGCGGTCATAAAATTATATTAATGATATTCTTCTGAATGTTGTTTTATCCTGTTGGCAAAAGTGCTTTGACATCTGTAGCGTATCAATTTCTCAACTGCCCTTTACTAGTATTGCTTGGGACTTGCCCATTTTCATATCAGTGATGCCTTCACTTTTAAGTGTGTTTTGTTTTAATGTTGTTGCAGCGAGCTTTCCTTTATTTCTTGGAATAACCCATTCTTTTTCTTGATTTTTTGTGCATGCAGAGAGCTGTTTTGGTGCCAGCACTGGAAGGTCGTGACATAATTGCTCGTGCGAAGACTGGAACTGGGAAAACATTGGCATTTGGCATTCCTATTCTCAAAGGACTTAGTGACCAGGACCAAGAAAGTGGCGCTATAAGGTATATTATGTCCAATCAGGTGTTAAAAGATAACTTTTTTTTTTTCTTTAATATGATCAGTTAAGTAATATTTCTCTATTTCGGTTGAAGACGAGGTCGGTTTCCAAAAGTATTGGTCCTTGCGCCTACCCGAGAGTTAGCTAAGCAAGTTGAGAAAGAATTTAAAGAGTCTGCTCCATATTTGAACACTGTTTGCATCTATGGAGGGGTTTCATCTGTCACGCAACATAGTGCACTTTCGCGTGGTGTCGATATTGTTGTTGGAACACCCGGTAGAATCATTGACCTTATCAACAATAACATCCTGAAGTTAGGAGAAGTTCAGTACTTGGTTCTCGATGAAGCGGATCAAATGCTTGCTGTGGGGTTTGAGGAAGACGTAGAAGTCATTCTTGAAAAGCTTCCATCACAAAGGCAGAGCATGCTTTTTTCAGCTACTATGCCTGGATGGGTAAAGAAACTAGCAAGAAAGTTTTTGGACAATCCTCTAACCATTGACCTTGTAAGCCTTTCTTTCATTTTAATTTTATAACTGAGTCTTTCAATGCTAAGTCTTGTAGTATGATGGTAATCAAGTGTGTATTCACTGTAATGGATTTAAATTTGTTGCATATGTTGATCTTGATAAAGCCTGCTTCATTTGTTATTTCTTACAGGAAAAGTATGAGTGTAACATTGTGATAGATTTACTGTTTCTTAAGTGTACCTGCTGCTTATTTTACATCCCCTCACCACATAATTTGGTTCTCCATGGTAGGTTGGTGATGACGAGGAAAAATTGGCTGAAGGGATTAAGTTGTATGCAATTTCGACTACCTCTACATCTAAGCGAACAATCCTCAGTGATCTTGTGACGGTACGAAAAGATACATTGGTTTCTGAATGTGTAGTTCTTTAAATTTCATATATATAGTTATTAAGTTGTGGTCTCTTGAGAAATATACTTCCTTTGGTGCATTTTTTTTTTNTCCTTCTTGCCTTTGAATTATATTGCCTTGTCAGGTTTATGCAAGGGGCGGAAAAGCCATCGTTTTTACACAGACCAAACGAGATGCAGACGAAGTCTCTCTGGTATTGACAAATAGCATTGCCTCGGCAGCATTGCACGGTGACATTTCTCAGCACCAGAGAGAACGGACCCTAAATGGTTTTAGACAAGGAAAATTTACGGTGCTCGTCGCAACCGATGTTGCTGCTCGTGGGCTTGATATTCCAAATGTTGACCTTGTATGTTCTTATGGTCTTGTCAATAAACATGTGTTATGTCATGTGTATATATTCTTCGTGAAACTACTGAATGACAGTGAAAAGGGGTGTTTTCAAAGGAATGAAGAGTGAACTCACTTAAAAGCTCCTACCTTTTCATAACTATACTGAAAGTCATAATTATTCTCTCCTCTTTGTTTCATTTTGATTAAAGTTGTTTTTTTTTTCCTGGTTTATTAGCAATTAGACAATTTTATTCTTAGACTTATAATTTTTTTGTAGATTATACACTATGAGCTTCCGAAAGACTCGGAAACATTCGTTCATCGATCTGGACGAACAGGACGTGCAGGAAAACAAGGCACAGCTGTTTTAATGTTCACGAGCAGTCAACGTAGGCCAGTGAAGACTCTCGAGAAAGATGTTGGGTGCAGGTTTGAATTTGTAAGTCCACCGTCTGTTCAAGAGGTTTTGGAGTCATCTGTGGAGCAAGTAGTTGCCACCCTTGGTGGAGTTCATCCCGAATCTATTGAGTATTTCACTCCAACTGCCCAAAAACTGTTTGAACAGAAAGGAGTGGATGCTCTTTCTGCTGCCTTAGCAACTCTCAGTGGCTTTTCCCGGCCTCCGTCATCTCGGTCGCTTATCACTCACGAGCAGGTAAAAAATGTTGTTATGATTTGCTAGTAATTAATGTGTCTTAAAAATGTATAGAAGATATTTTTTATTTTGTTTGCTTACTAAGGTAAGCTTATTACGGTTTCATTTGCTAGGTTACGAAACTCAGATTGCAATATAAAAGAATTTTCAGTTTTGTTTGTTCAGCAAGATTTTATCTCATTGAATCTGAATATAAACCAAAAAAATAACAAAAAAATACTGATAACTTCATCTCACTTTTTCTCTACAAATCCCACTCAACACAATTAAGAAATAAAAAGTAAATATTATTCACATATTTCTAACTACCAATCTCATGAATCAATATTTTATTATTTTTATATCACATCAGGTTTAATCATTATTCATTTCATATCCATTAACAATTTCACTTTTTTTTTTCGAAAAAATCTTATATCCAATCGCACCTATATCTTTGAAATAGAAAAATGTTGAACTTAAGGAATTACAAGTACCTACAGTATCCCCATTTTGGAATTTGCGTTTTCTTTAAGAACAGTCTTCTACGGGGTGTGCAATACCCTAAAATAGAGACCAATGTCAATGGCATCTGTAATGTTCAAAGGCAGCGGCCCGTCTTGTAATTATATTGAAATTCAGGGGCATGTTTTGTAACTAACCATAAATTTATGTGATATTAAATGTTAATATCATCTTCTAGTGCTTGCAAAAGTTTGACTATTTGTTTGTTTGCAGGGTTTGGTTACATTACAGCTGACCCATGATAGTGCTTGCAAAAGTTTGACTATTTGTTTGTTTGCAGGGTTTGGTTACATTACAGCTGACCCGTGATAGTGGTTATTCTAAAGGGTACCTCTCTTCTAGCTCTGTTATTGGTTTTCTAAATGATGTCTATTCTCCAGCTGCTGATGAAATTGGCAAAATACACACTATTGCCGATGAAAAGGTGAATGTGCGAAGATACATTTCATCTTTTCTTTTTCCTATCTCTTTTTTGTTTCTTTCCAATTCCTTCACGAGTTCTCTCTGCCATTAGGTCCAAGGGGCAGTGTTTGATCTCCCAGAAGAAATTGCAAAGGAGTTGCTGACGAAGGAACTTCCACAGGGAAACACTATTACCAAAATCATCAAGGTGATCTTTTTATGTCTTTCTTTTCCAAAAATTGTAGCATAGGTTGATTACTACCCAGTTAGCTTTCAAAATAGTAAGTCTAAAACTCAGGTTTAGCTTTTGTGATTATCCATTATCGACAATATGATGCACATGCCGAAGCCGGTATACGAATTATGGATGTATATAACTCAGTAATTAAGTTTCTTATGTACTACTGTTTTTTCATCTGATTTTTGGTGTAA